AGCTTCATTGTTGTCATGTGTAGAGCAAAACTCTCTCTCTCTCTCTCTCTCTCTCTCTCTCTCTCTCTCTCTCTCTCTCTCTCTCTCTCTCTCTCTGTTGAATGTTTCAAGTTTCACAACATATTAGCTACCATTACTATGTTGTGTGTGTTGTAAATACTGTAAACCTCTTAACTAAAACTAAAATATCTAACATCGATTCTTTTACTTCAACGATGTACGTGTAAGACCCCTTTATTATGTCCAATTACAAGTCATCCTTTTGAAAAGGGGGAGGGGGGTGTTGTTTTATGGTTTGTTTGTTTGTTTGTTTTTCAAATCATGACGTCCGTTTTGCCTCCGGTCATGTTTCTTTTGAAAACATCTCTCTATTATTGAAACGTCGTTCTTTGAGGAGTATAGAATTCCTGTCGTTGTGGTCTCATCGACTGCGCGCCTTCCGTCGACTGTACGTCCTGTTGAAAATGGACTCTGAAATCGATTAAAATTCAACGGGAGAAGGGAAACTACCAATTAGCACTATACTGCTGACGAGATAACATTGCAAAGGTGTTTGTGTACGTCAGTGTATAAAGGTATCGTTTAGCCGCGAGGGCTATTAGCAAAATGCATTATCACATTAATTTTAGCTTTGTAGTCGTGTGTTCTAGCTAGTGGCCTGCTTCTTTCACCTCGGTATCACTTTTGGCCTAAATAGACTTCTGAAGCTCTTCGACAGCTCGTCTGTGGGGGTTTTAAGGTTCCCAACCCATTTGGCTCGGTCTAATCGGAGATGGAGGTTCAATTCGGAGGTCCCGTCTCTCAGAAAACCTGACTGTGTTTAAAGAGGCATTAAACTCGTACACTTTCACACGTACATTACTAGTCTTCTGTCTTTTAGAGTGTAGCTGTTATCGACGTAAAGTTGAAATACGCATCATGGTGCAATAGTTACTAGATGTGTTAAAATTACATGCATCCGTCTGCTTCAACTGTTTCATTTTTCAACATGGTCGCTCATAAGGCACGTCAAGGTGTCCCTCGTCCGAGAAGGCTAGGTGCAGATCTTTCCTACTAGTAGATCAGGGTGTGGCAGAAAGACAGCAGTAAGGAGGAGCCAAGGAGTAGCAGTAGAAAGGCTGCAGAAAGAGTCGGAAGCTCTGAGGAGAGGGCAAAGGGGATGAGGGGGTAGGGACAGAAAGTGGAGACGAAAGCTGACGACATGACATTGCTAGAGAGCAGAAAAGGAGGTTGAAAGGGACAATTTTAGAGAAGAAAATTTTTCGGTCGCGACCCGGATTCGAACCCGAGACCTTTGAATGAGAGGCGAACACCTTTACCTCTTGGCCACGAGAGCCCCCGAAAAGGGGTTAGGGTGTGGGGTAGTTGATAAGCGTTTGTGTTCAGCATCCCCTTTCGATACTGTAAGGTTATTTCAGAGGCTGAACTTTCAAAAATAGTGCCCATCCCTGATAAGACCGATGCAAGTAGGACTTGCAAATAACGACAAACAATCCAATTTCAAAAACGCCCCTGTGGAGATTCGAACAAAGGTCATACGCACCATAGCCCAGCATGATACTAATTGAGGTAATATTGAGCTACAATCAGCGAAGTATGCGCCTCTTGGTGCCTTGCTAGAACAGCAGTCCATGCAACAGGTTGTACTGAGCTACATGTAAACAGTAGCAGGGATTTTCCCTGACCTGACTAACGAAGTGAAATATACAATTAACGGACCACATTCTCTAATTCAGAAGACAAGTCGGCATAAAGAAATAGGATAACATTTTTAATAGTCTTTTTTAGGTAACGTCGCGCCCTATACTGTGGTATACGTTCTATACGTTCGTCATATGCCACAAATCTGGTTAGCTCCAGACAAGCCAGAAATAAGTCAGATGAAATTTCTCAAAAATCAAGCTATTTAGGCATGCATCTCTGCGTGTCAGTTAGGATATAATGTCGAAACCGACCTTCAGTAAAACATCTCTAGTTACATTTTCAGTTATGCTGATCCCTTTATTACTGCAAACAACAAATAATTCTAATTTGTCTCGCAGTAGCGTTCCTAATTTTCTTACCGATCCTAAGATTGTATCATGGAAAAGAAACTCGTTAATTTTTAATCTCGGATCAAGAAGAAAACAGGAGAATCGTGTGCCTCCTTAATTAGTTTCTCTGTTTGCACACTATGATTTGTTTCATTTTGTGTCTTTTGTTATTTCTGTTGGTTGCTATTATTTGATTATGTTACTCGCTTTCCCATCCTGGTAACAGCAACGCTCAAGGAATTCGCCATGTTCTTACAAAGAAGCGCAAGGGGGGGGG